AAGAAGAGGAGACCAGGGTCCCACAGACCCTTCTGAGTCTGTCCCCAGTAAACCAAGGACCTCCTTCTCAAGGCTCCATCACCCTGGGCGCCAAGCCTCAACACACACACTCTTGAGGGACACTATACTCAACCTTTAGACCCCTCACTTGGGAAGTCTGAGGAGCTGAGGATGACCTTGTTCTTGAGAGGAAACATGGAGTGCCCCTCTCCAGAAGGCTGGTGCACACGGTGCGTGCTGACATCCTCCTCGTGGGAAGTAGCAGGGTGTGGGGCAGAGGGCAGGATAGCGAATGCCCCAGCAGTCGCTGGCACAAGCAATCTGATGATTACTTGTACCCTTCTGAGGCAAGGAGAGGCGAGAGTCCAGTCTCTGGCCCCACCTCCCCTTGTCCAGTCCCCACTCTTTATTCCCTTCCCTTGACTCAAAGCATCTGTGGACCGTCTCCAAATTCCAGATGGAGGAATGGAAAGCTTTCCCATTCCCTATGGCCAGGTATCCTTTGCTTTCCAATGCCTTGTGTGTGAGTGTGTGAGTGTGTGAGTGTGTGTGTGTGTGTGTGTGTGAGAAGTGAGCATGTTCCTTTCTCTGCTAGAGCGACACGATGATGGTGATGTGTTAAGTGAGAGAACACAAGGTAAATTCCATAACAGTTGTATTTCATGAAATAAATTTCAAAAGATGCCTGGTACACACCGCAAACAAGATGGCCATGCTTTCCTCTGACCCTTTCCCCCATAGTGCTCCCTTTCTTTAAAAGTTGGAATCTTTTAAAGAAACAAGAAAAATAAAAGAGTTAAGGGAAATTATTCGCATCAATATGCAAATTGTGGTGTTGAATTAATTGAATGAAGCGCTGGTACCAGGGCTAGCTCATGGCTACCAAGGAAGTAAAAGGATGTGTTTATACACTTGTGATTTGTGCTGGGAGGGTGTGGCGCTTCCTGAGCATCTCCAAGCCCCTGGGGGTGAGTCCCAGTGCCACACAGACACCCTCACAGTTTTACTACTTCATAAGGAAAAACAATCAACCTCCTTCTATGGAGCTAGTGAGGGCTTGTGAAACTTGTCTCAGACAGCAGGCAGAATGGAAGAGCTGCTCTGAGTTCACAACCAACCTGTTGGTCTAACTGGAGAATCAGAACTCCCCAACTCATTCCACTACCCCCAGACAGGTCAGTGATTACTCTGAATAAGACATCCAGCAGCCCGACAGCTGCCTTAGAGCTTTTTGGGAAGCCATAGGGTACCTGGGTAGTTCCTTGTAGCCTACCCACTTCCTGCCCAGGAAAACCTAGAATGGAAGCCGCTTCTCAGGGAATGGAGGGAAGCAGCAGCAGGGGCTGCAAGGGGAGCCGAGTGAGAATCAAAGGTCAAGTGAAAATGCACTGCTTAGCCTCTTGTTCTGAGAAGGCGAAGACAACCAGGGTTCTTATTAAGTCCTGAATTCCCGAGGATGGCCCCCTGGGGGAGCAAGAGATCTCTCCAAACTGAATAATGCATCAAGTAAATTCCTGAGCCAGCAGGACTGAGCAGAGGGCCGCACTGATCACCAGGGCTCCATCAGGTTATTTTTCCACCTTGCAATTCTTTTCTCTGGAAGCATCAGCCATTGAAAGACTTTGGATTAGGAGCCAGTGGTCCAAGCTCCAGCTAAGACTTTCAAGTTCCTTGATTGCTCAGAAAATCACTGGATACTTACTGAAAGAGCACCCCCCTCTATAACTGAAGGAACACCGTATCGTCAAGGTAATGAAGAATTTCATTTATAAAGAAAGATTATTCTGCCAAAAGGAAACAATCTATGGCTCGCTGATTATGCAGAACTCTTAATAAACAGGCAGATTCCTTCAATGACCTGTTACATACTTTGGATTGGAAGCCCCAGGATACTTGACAGAGATCTTGAAGGGCCTATGGGGGAAGGGGAGGGATAACTAGAATGGCAGGATGACTCCTGAACACAAACTGTGGCCTGTGTGGGGGCCTCATGAGCATAAACGGCTTGTGATGACTAGAAATTCCTACCTATGGCTGGAAAAACTGTCAGAAGTTGCGATCCATGCATACAGTGACTGTATCCATGTGTACAGGGACTGTATCGATACAGACATACATAAAGATTTCTGTATGTAGCAGGTCTTCAGTCAGGTGGCTGGCATCAGCGTGTGAGGTAAGAGAGAGGACAGTGTAGGCCGAGCTACGGGGAAGCAAGATCCTTCATCTCCCAGAAGCCAACAGGCCGCAGCTCAGCAGGCTGGTCTTCTGGGGGGCCTCTGTGGGTTCAAGTCCCAACACCTGTGTAGCAGCTCACAACCATCAGTAACTCCAGGCCACTTGCATTCATGCAGCGGCAGGCAAATACGCACACAAAATAAAAAATAACGAAAATGAGGTATATCGGTGCTGGAGGAGCCAGGCAGTCCAGGGTCACTGGCTACCCAGCCCACCCCACTGCATAAGCACCAAGTTAGCAAGAGACTATGCATGTCTCAGAAAACAAGGACAGTGCCTGAGGAACAGCGCTGGACGTTGGCCTCTGGCCTCCACACACATGAACACACACACACACACACACACACACACACACACACACACGCACAGTTGGCAGACACCATGCTAAACCATGCAGGCCATCCTAAAGTGAAGTGTAGGATGCTGAGAACGTGAGTGGGTTCGAGGATTCACAGCATCAGGAGACCAGCATCACCTGCCCATGTTTAAAAGCTTCAGTTGCTCTCATGGTGTCAACTGGGTTTTACAGTAATATCCGGCAGCAGATGTTTCTGAGGCACACGGTCACAAAAACCATCCAACACTAAGTACCAAAATGAGTGGCTTTTCAAAATGGTATGGCAAATGGTTCAAACTTTTTTCTTTTTAACGAGAAAAACCAGGGGCTCGGCAGATGTCTCGGTTGGCGAAGTGCCTATCACAGGAGCCTGAAAATGTCAGGTCAGGTCCCCATCATCCATGTAAAAACTGGGCATTGTAGTGAAGTTTTGGCTTCTTTTAAAAACTCGGTGATGTTATGTAAATATGATTTTGTCTTAATCCCAAGTGTGGGGTATGGGGCAGCCTTGGTTTGTCCACAGCTGATAATTGTGGGGTGTGGTCTCTGCCAGCTGCTAACAGCCTCCTTTGGCTCGGAGAAGGGCGGGGTCTTTGCCAGCTGCAGCTAGTGGAATTCTGAGGACTCTGAGAGGGTATAAATATGAGACCCCTGAGAGAGAAGGGGAGGGCACCAAGGAGACAGATGGAGGAGGAAGAAGGCTGCTTGTTTGTCCTGCTGTATTTGGCCCTTGCTGTTGCTGGACTGCTAGGTATCCTGAAGACTGAGATTGGTATTTTCCAAGGAACCCAACGACCCCAAAGAGCCAGAACTAAGTCTAAAGAGGTCTGTGTCCCCTTTCCCTTCTAACCTTCTTTCTCTCCCACCTAGGGCTGGGGGATTGGAAGAGAGGTAGCGGCTTTAGGAATCCCAAATAAAAGAGTCTGAAAATATAGCACCTAAAGGGCACAGGGTACCGAGAGGTAGAGACAGTTAAACCCCTGGAACTTCCTGGCCAGACAGTCTAGACAGTCTAGACAACTGGTGACTGCCTGGGTTGGAAAGCCTATGTCAGAAAATAAGGTAGCAAGCCACTAAGGAAGACGCCTGACATGCTATGGCCTCTACATCCATGTGAAGACACAGCCAGACACACACACACACACACACACACACACACACACACACACTCTAGAAAGGGATATGGAAAACTACAGCAATCACAGTGTGAACATTTCCTTGTACAAAGGGTGTGTGTTTTAAGGGCACAATTTTTAAAAACAAAACAACGTGCTCGCTCTTTCCCTGCCGTCCTCACCAGTTCTGCAGCCATGCCAGAAACCCAATCAGCCCAGTTAGCGCCAAGCCCTGCTTCTGGTAACTCAGTCATGGTTGTTATCAGCAAACTAGTTATGACATGTTAGTTTGGAGATTCAAAGGGTGAAGGTAAATGGCAAATATTGAAAATGAAACCAAGAGAACGGGGCCAAAATCTAGTATTAAGCCACATCGTCACATGCAGCGGAGGCCGGAGCAGCTGAGCTCTGGACCTGACCACTTCCAGAACAGAGAGCAGACTAGCTGAAGAAAACTCCCACCTCATAGTAGGCCTGAGGAGTCCGGAAAGGTTGTCCCTCCTCCCAGAAGCGGCAGATTCCTCCTCAGGCATTTCTGCCTGTCATTCCCAACCTCCAGGGGGCGCTGTGTGCTGTGATCTGGAACTGCAACCTGCTCTGAAGGTGCTCTTGGGGACAAGGCCACATAGTAGGGCACCTTCTCTTTTCTTCCCCCCCAAACACCTTGATGTCTCCCTCAGAAAGCTACTCTTCTATGTTTCTCTCACAGGTACCCACCAAGGCGAACAGGCAACCAGAGACAGTTCGGCTCAACCAAAAGCAGGCTTTATTTTTCTTTCAAATCCCCAATCCATGTCCAGCCAGTGGATGGAAGGTTCATCGAACCTTCAACAGACCCCGGGGGTGGGGTGGGGCAGTATTAACTTTGTAAGGGGAAGGAAAACTACCAAAACCTTTCTGGAAAGCTGCTGGGTGTCAGGGAGCACGGAAACCACGAGGGGCTCCCCACAGGCGTCGGGCACGCCTCTCCCGCTGGCGCTTCTTTGCACAATGGCACCTGCACATCGGCAGATGCAGTAGCCACCTGCCTCCACATCACTCTGGTCCGGAAACCTAGAACCCTGGTTCACCTCAACACGTAAGGAACGACTCAAGAGCAGCCAACATATCTGAACTCAATTCTTCAGACTGTAGTTGAGTGCTAACTATTTGCTAGGCACGGACTAGGCACTGGGCAGTGATTTTGCTGTTTCCCAGAAAAACCCAAGGTGTGGGGAGGGGCAGCTTCCCCCTACGTGCGGAAGATGTTTTCTGTGGGTTCAGAGAACGGCTTCCTCCTCCGCTCGCTCACTCCGTGCGGGTGCCAGGTCAGCACAGATGCTGGGCCTAGGGACAGATGTTAAGCCTCCTTCTACAGGTGTGGGCCCGGGAGGTCTAAGAGCAGGCTCTAGACAGCTGTGGAATTCGCTCCACAATCCACATAGTGTTGTGTCTCCAAGGTGCTCTGGGAGATGTGGCCGATGTATGAAATCTTCACAGAGGTCCTAGCAAATAGAAAGTCACGAAGAGACTAAATAAGCCGGAAAAAACAAACAAACAAAAAACAACCAGATAATTCCTTCCAAGTTGAGCAGGACAATACCCATGTGAGCCTCAGGCTCCTGTCTTCATGGTTATGTAACCAGGAGGCCAGAGGACCTTTCTAGTCCAAAAATGCTGTGTCATGGGCTGACCTTCTGGATCAGCAGTTCTTAAGCATGGATGGTTTTACCCCATGGCAGGGAGGGGGAGGGGTCTGGCAACATCAGGGCACCTTTAGGTCCTTACAGCTGAGTGGGGCAGCGGGTGGTAAACACTCCCAGCAGCAGGCAGAGACAAGGCAGAGACAAGGGATGCCATCACTGAGCACCCGCAGTGCAGTCAATGACAATAAATAACTCATTGGCTTAAAAACTGAGACACCTCACTCAAATCCCCAGATTTCAAATGTCTCTACCACACTCTGCCATCTTTACAACTAACAGTCACGGTCCCAAGACTAGTAACACTGTCACCAGAGACTGCGTTGGTCAAATACTTAGTATTTACGTCCTGAGAAAGCTGGGTGATCTTTGCTCTCCAGGATTCTGACAGGATCACATGTTTAGCTAAACTAGACCCCATTTCATGCGGAACATTTCTTTTAATTTTTAAAAAGATATTTATGTCTCTAGGTGTTTTGCCTGCATGTATGTCTGTGCCCTATGTGTATGCATGGTACCCACAGAGGCCTGAACACACCGGATCCCCTGAAACTGGAGTTACAGACAACTGTGAGCCTCATGTGAGTCCTGGGTTCTCTGGAAGAGCAACCAGCTCTCTTAACTGCTGAGCCATCTCTCCAGGGGCCTTCCCTCCCAAACATTATGTTTAACTATTCACCAGGAACCTGGCAACCTATGCAGGGCCTCTGGACTCCACCTCAAGAGCACCGGAAGGTCTGCTGAGGCTGTGCTGCAGGGCAGGGGAGAGGTCTCCTTTCAGCCACGTGACTCCAGCGACTGTGGCTGAGCTCGAAAGGCCGGCAGGAGAGGGCAGAGGACATACCTCATGAAGATGACGATGTTGTGCACCAGGATGGCAGGGATGGTGCAGTAGAAGCTGCGGGCCACAAACACGGACACGGTCACTCGGTTGAGATCCAAGCAGAACAAGCATGGCGCGGTCTCCCAGGAGAAGCAGCAGGACAGTGTTGCGTCACACTGCTGAAGCACCTGGGCCACCTTCCCTTCCCCATGCCTGCCCTTCGAACTGAAGGACTGTCAAGGGCCACAGGTTCTGGCCCCCAGAGTGTCATTCTCAGCTCCCCACATCACACCCCTTGCTTCTCAAAGCCAACATGCGTTTACACGCTAGAGCTTGCTAAAGCTTCTAGTGCTTAATGTCCTCTTTAGAAACCCCAGCACTTCAGTCACATGTCAAGTGACATCTTCTACAAGACCCTTCCAGAAAGCCAAAGCTAGGGAGTCCGCAGGCCAAATCTGGGGTGTAAGGCAGAGCTAGGGACACACACAATTGAGGAGGACTGAATCGCTCCGGGCAGACAGCACAGTAGAGAGAACTTTGTCCTTACTACACATAGGAAGACGGTCCTCCCACCTCAGCCTTCACCGTGAAATTCACCTGAAAACAGAGTAAGACCTGGCATCAGTCTGTGACACACAAGTTTGACACGGTAGCATTGTCGCCACCAACCCTCAGGTGCTGGATCATTCTTCCATCACAGACAAAGCACTTCCTTAAACAGCCTGGGAGCCTGGAATAAATACTTCTGGCCCCTCTACAGGCCTCTGGGCTGTAATTCCAACTCTTCTTGATTCGGTAACTGGCTTTCTCTTCCCCATTTTTTCACTGTCCAGGTACCTAAGTGTTCATAATTACAGGGTCCACACGGTCTCCTTCGGGTGGGTGGGAGTGAGGGGAACGGAAAGGAGTTACAACACTCGCACAGCACTCACTCCTCTGTGTGGGCAGAGGCCCTCCGAGAACATACCAGGCGCTCACTCCTCGGGGGGATGAGTGAGACATTAGCAGTCACATATGTGCCAACCACGGCCCTCATGTACTGAACCTGGCTCAACAGGTTGGTCACAGCCACAGAATAGAAGTTGGAGTTCCTGATTTTCAGGGTGGCCTGGACAGGGCAAGGGAGGAAGTGAGTGTTAAATGTCCTGGTCCAAGGCTGGCAAGTGCACGGGCCAGGAAGTGAGGCCCTATGTCTTACCGTGACAGCGAGGATCACGAGGGAGTCCTGTTTATTAAAGGTGACTTTGGCCACTTGGACGCCATCATCATCCACAAGGACTGAGTGTGGAAACAGGAAGAAGAACACCAAGCCAGATGCCAGGAGACAGAGCAGGACTGACAGGAGCACATACTGTTTACTATAAATGACAGATACAGGGAGATGTTGCGCATTCAGATACCGAAGCCTGTATGGTCATGACTACTTCGGAACTGAGGAACTGAGCCTTTATTTCCCAGACACCCGCACATCTCCCGGGACATCCTGTTTCTCCAACCCCTTCCACTCCCATCCTTCCATTTGACCCTCAAGGCACGTCTAGCTTCAGGTTTCTTTGCCCAGACTGTACCAGAAAGGGACAGTTCACTTAAGCAAAAGTGCTAGGGGAAACGGGGAGAGCTAGGGCTTGATTCAGTGGAAAAGTGCTTGTCTAGCATGCAAGAGGGCCTGGGTTCAAGTCTCAGTATCATCCCCCCCCCCAAGTAATATTAATAATAATAAATAAAGGAAATGGGGCACATACAAAAACAGACATCTTCCTCAAATAATTAATTGGTATCCTTCCATGAGAAAGGGGTCAGGGACAGAAACAGGTGTTGACAAATGGAAGGCCGCCACGCCAACTCACGTTCTCTGAGGACGCAACCTCTGGTCACTGTGGGGTATCAGAGCCACCAACTCATTGACTTGCTCTAGAAAAGCAGCAAAGACTCATTTTGTAAAACCCCACGAATTGGTAGCCCTTCTCGCCACACTGCGCTGTAAACTGCCACAGCGAAGATTCCTCTGGGACGAGACACTAAAAAGTACGGTTTTTTGTTTTGTTTTGTTTTGTTTTGTTTCGGTTGAATGAAGAAGAAACACGTCAACACAGAAATAGAAAGAAAAAAGTAAGGAAAGCGGAGAAAAGAAACAGATAAACTTTCAGAGAACGCCGCAATTATAAAACTTCTCCCAGCGCTGCCAGGGCAACGGCGCTGATGTTGGGGAAGCTCTTGCCTTACTTTCCTAGTTATGGGACAAGTCAAAGCCTCCGTTTCTTCACTTTTCAGTTGGAGCTTTGGAGTATGCGGTATCCGAGGTTCTTTTTTTCTTTTTCTTTTTTTTATTTTATTTTATTTTTTGGTTTTTTAAGACAAAGTGTCTCTGTGTGGCCCTAGCTGTTCTGGATTTGCTTAGTAGACTGGACCGACCCCAAACTCACACAGAGATCCGTACGACTCTGCCTCTCAAGTACTGGAATTAAAGGCGCACACCACCGTGCTCGGCTTCCAAGGTTCTTAATAGCTCTAACCATTGGGACTCCCCCAACACCCAGGGTCCATTTAGTGATAGCTGTTCCTGGAGATAATTCAATCCCGAGCCTCTCTGCCTCTCTCCTCCCCCTGGTATTCTGCTGACCTCTGGCTACTGAATCTCTCGTGCTGGGTTTTTTTGTGTTTGTTTTGTTTTATTTTTAAAGAAGCTTCCAGGATAGTCCCTCCACAAGGCCATGCCTGTCCTTATGAGCAAGAGCAATAGAGAAACATCCTTGCCAACAAACCCCACGGCAGAGAAATCAAGATTCCAAACCAGAGAGGGGCTGGGTCCGCAGGGACCATGAAGCCATCTCAATGAGGTGCCGTCTAGATTAGATTAGGCTGGCCCCAGGTTCGCCTGTGGGCGACTTTCTCAACTGGGTTAACTGAAGATGGAAGACCCTCGATGAATGTGGCGCCCATTTCACAGGCTGGGCCTCTGAATGAAGAAGAAAGAGGAAGTTAAGTACAAGCTGTCCTTGTCACTTCCTCTAATGGGATCTAGGTAATCTTAAATTCCTGCTGTCCTGACTAGTCCTCAGTGCTGGATTATGACCTGGTTCTGGGAACCAGAATAAACCCTTCACGCCCTAGGCCGTTTTTTTGTCAAGGTATTTTATCACAGGAATGGGAAAAGGAAACTAAGGCAGTCATAAAGGAGTAGAAATGAGGAAAAGAAAGGGCTGCAAATGTAAAGATCAAAAGAAGCCTGCCATCTGCCCAAGTTTATCAGCTCAGGCGAGCTGGCCACAGTTCAGGGCAGTCTATTATTACGGGGGGGGGGGGGGGGGGGGGGGCTGCCTGGAGCCGATTCCAGAGCGCTTTCCGCACAGCTCTCACCTGCTGGGATGTAGCCTGCTCCTTGGCAGGTGTGGCAGGTGATGCTATTTCTCCCAGTGAACTCCACATAGGGGAACTGAGCGATGGCTTCCTCCTGCTCTCTATCAGCCAGCAGGTCCTCCGCGTTGTCACCCTCCTTTCGCTGACAAAATGTGTGAGCAGAGGAGTGTTGAGACCCCATGTGTCATCTCCTACGCGGGGGTGTGGGGGGGCGCGTGTTAGTGTCCACAGGGGGCCAGGACAGAAAACAAAAAAAACAAAAAAAAAAAATCACCTCTACGAGAAATGTAACAACACTGAGCGAGAAGTTGCTGTCCTAAGTGTGTGCCTCTGTGTCCCAACACCGGCACAAGTCCTACCTCCGGCCCTGCGTGGTGAGTGACAGCCCCCCCACACCACGTAGCTAGCTGGGTCAGGCCCCCTCTCTCTGCCCAGGAAACCCCAGCTCCCCCACGCAGCCGCTTCCTCCCCGCTGCTTGCAAAGTCTGAAGGGCAAACAGACAACAGGCACCAAATTAATAAAAGGCCTCAGCGATCTCCTTCTTCCCCCCACTCCCGGCCGAGGAGGCGGGCTCGGGCCTCGGCCCCCTTAAAAAGCCACGGTCCAAGCGCATTCAAGCCTCCGAGGCCGAGGGACCGCGACCACCCCCGAACCTGTGGCGCAACAACTCCGGGCAGTTACTCTCTGGACCACTCCTCCCTCCACCTGCCTGCTCCAGAGAGTCCTCCGCGCGTCCCCGGCTGTGCGCAGGCGCAGTGCCCGGCGAGCGCCTGCGCCTGTGCTCTGAGCTCCGGTGCGTCGCTCCCGCCGGGAGGCTGCAGCGCACCCAGCCGCCGCTAGAGGGCGCCAGAGCGCGGCGGTGAGGCTCGGAGAGAGGGAGATGCGTCTCTGCACCCCAGAAACGCTCAACAGAGCTTCCGGATAGGAGCAGAGCGCTTCTGTGCAGGAGGAGGACGGAGTCCCCTTTGTCCAAAGCCATTCTCACCACCCAGAGAGTGTAAAGGAACCCCAAACCCAGAAGCTGCCCTAGGTCCCGGCAGAGGATCTGATTTGCGTAGGAGTGTATGGGGAGCCACTGTGACGGGGACCCCAGACCTGATTGGGAGCACCTTCCACCGGAGCGCTGCCAGCTAGCCAGGAGAATGAAACCCAAAGCTCAGTTATGCAAGCTGGTCCTATTTCAGGACCACCACACGAAGGGGGAAAAAAGCGCGATGGACATAAAGGGCTCCAGAGAGCCCCCTAAAGTACCATAGAAGCGAGTGAAGAGGGCCGAAGCTGAGGCTGGGAGGCCGCGTCATGGTGCACGCCAGGCTGATCTAAGCATGGGAGAGACGGGCAGCAGGAGCGCCACAAGTTCAAGGCTAGCCTAGAACTTGAGATTTAGGCCAGCCAGTAGGAGAGACCCTGTTTTAAACCGAAACAGAGCAATAGTGAAGAGTTAATTTCGACATCCTAAAACTGGATGACTGAGCAACCCGTGTGACTGGAGAGAGGATGGCCACCCGCTGCCTCCCTGTGTTCCTTATGCTGCCCTGGGAACCGTAGACCCTTAGCTAACTGCTGGCCACCATTAGCTCCTGGAGCCTTCGGTGGAAAACCAAGGGCCACCAACCAGCTTCCACCTTTGGTCCTCAACCATTCCCTGAAATGTTTTGGTTTGTTTGTTTGTTTGTTTGTTTGTTTTTAACAAGATTCTTTCTTTGAAATTTTTATGTCACTTCTATGTTTCTTACTTTAATAAACCTGATGACATTGGGAGAGAGAAACACTCACCTAAAAACGTGTTGCTCAGCTCCCATTTGTAGTTAGCTGGCCCGGTGATACTGTTCTGGCCAGTGAGGAGTAAGAGTGTCCAATTTTTCTAGGAAACATCCTTAAAGGAGATGGAGACTCAACTGATCCTCTGGCTTTATCTGTTTGGACTGTAAGCTTGATACTGGAGATTAGAATTTTAAAAAAGGTATTAGAGATTAGGGTAGCTGTGTTTGTTGAGCTCTATTTAGCCATGAGGCCATGAGGAACTCTGGACAAAGGATAAAAGAAATCCAGCCCCTGATAGAATACCCGTATTCTGAGTTTTCATGTCCTAATAGTGGATTGCCATCCTGGAAATACACAGTGCAAATAAAGAGGTAAGACTTGGTTTGTTTGGTTGTTTGGTTTTGATTTTTTGGGTTTCTGTTTGTTTGGTTGGTTTTTTGAGACAGGGTTTCTCTGTGTAGCCTTGGCTGTCCTAGAACTCACTCTGTAGACCAGGCTGGCGTTGAACTCAGATCTACCTCTCCAGTGCTGGCACTAAAAGCATGTGCCACCACACCCAGTGAAAAACTTGGTTTTAACATGTACACGCTGCTCAACATGCTGAGTTCAGTGCCAGCCTGGATTACAAAGTGAGTTCCAGGACAGCCAGGGCTACACAGAGAAACCCTGTCTCAAAAACCAAAAACAAACAAGTTAACGTGTGCGGACTGCCTTAGTTACATGGTACAGCTTCAGCTCTTAGTCCCCCTGCCTTTCAAGAGTAGGGGGTGGTCAGACCTGTCAGAGCCCTGCCCTGGTTAGGCTTTTCATGCATGAAGATGCCTCTGGAAAGTAACTCACCAGCAGAAATGACCTTGTTCTCCACCAAGAGATAAAATGCTATCTCTCGAAAGCCCATCCTCACAAAGGTGTTGTATCTAGCCTCTGCCTGACACCCTGCTAGTGCTAGCATACAAATAAACCTGGTGTCCACACCATGGAAAGGCAGTATGGCAGGAACAAGCAGAGGGAAACACACAGAAGGCTGTAACCGGCCCTGCCTGCCCAAAAGAAAGAATACTTTAGAATACTGAGGGCTGGGGGTGCTTCACAATGGAGGGAGAAAAGGCTCAGAGCACAAAGCCTGTGGTCATGAAAAGGCGGGGGATGGGTTGGTGGGCCAAGGAAGGCAGCCCGGAACAGCAGCAGCAGCAGAACCCTGAGGCTCTTTGTCTGTTCCTGAAAGTGTGGCTTGGACTGAAGGGCGCACACGTAGGCCAGCATCTGGGATCTGGGTGTGCAGTAGACCCTCAGGAAGTACCTGCACAACTACTGAGGCTGGAGGCTGGCCAGAATGGCCTGGGGGAGTAGTCCCAGCATCTCCTTGAGCCGTCTGAGAGAGAGCCTTAATTGGCCAGCACATTCCTGAGGAGACAACCATCACTTCTCACTTGTGTCTAGCTTCTGGATTTGTCTCACTCTCCCAGTCAGGAGGAGTGGGATTACTGTAGACGTGAGCTCATTGGGGCTCTCTGGGTGGCCAGGGCAGAGTGGGGCCACCCCAACATCTCTGAGCTCCCATCCTCTTCAGTTTCTCCACAACCTTTACGGGGCCCTAGCCCCACGGACTGAGGATGCTCATTCGGAAAGACCCTAGGGGCGCACAAATCCTTTTAAATTGTTTGTGGTGTCATTTTCTCCCATGAACCTGAGATCTTGGAGCCCTGGGCTCATGGGTCTCTAAAGTGAAGTCCCGAGGGAAGTTCTTTAAGGCAAGGAAGGGAGAAAGAGAGAGTGAGGAGAGAATCCTTTGCAGTTAAGAACTCTGAAGTAGTAGATCATGAGGTGGGAAGCAGCTGTTTCCCCCATTTTTACTGGGGAGAAAACCAAGGTGCAGGGAAGGCGATGGCTCAACTCTGGTGGTAGGGGGTCTTCCCAAGGAAGGAACAACTCTTTCAAGACCTGCCTCCAAGCCAAGCTTCAAGCCAGTCTGCCAAGCCAGGCTCCTCAGCCACTTGAGTGGCTTTTCCTCTGTCCTTATCTGCTCCAGAGCTTGGCTGACATATCTCCCTGACCCCTGCCTTCTGCCCTGAACCTTCCAGGGCAAGGGCTTCCCCTTCCCCTTCACCATATAATCTGCACATTTTGGTTCTCTCTCTCTCGCTCTTGCTCACTAAGACTCCGTTTCTCTCCCTCTCTCTGACTCTCTCTTGGGGTGGCCCCCTTCCCGTCTCCTATGCCCTCCCAGTGTCTCTCTCTCTATCTCTCCGTCTCTCTCCCCACCCCCATACACTAAATGTCCTCATACCAGATCTGCTGTGCATGACATTTTTATATATATTATAACACTTTCCACCAAGATGCCAGCCCCTTTGCTTTACATCGCTTTGCTTTAGCTCCTTACCAGCATCCAGCAGCCTGTATCATCCTTTAATCTGCTTTAAAAAAAAAAAGAAAAAAAGAAACCATTCATGAAAAAAAAAAATTTAAGGGATTGGATTAAAGAAATTAAAACTCTACTGTAGGCACTAGTTTTTAAACTATTTTAATTTGGTTTCTTAAACCTCTACCTCCTTTCCAACCCCCGACCTAGGTAGAAGAAAAGAAGGTAAGAAGGGACAGGGATCGTAGACCTCTTTAGATTTAGTTCTGGCTGGTTAGGGTCGTGGGGTCCTTTGGGAAAATACCAGTCTCAGTAGTCAGGATATCTTGTAGTTCAGCAACAGCAAGCGCATCAGGATGAACAAGCAGCCTTCTTCCTCCATTCGTCTCCTCGATGTGCTCCTTCCTCTCTCCGGGCCCTGGTATTTATATCCTCTCAGAGTCCTCAGACTTAAACTATCCCCCGATAGCAAAGACCACACCCCTCTCCCAGCTGCACAAGGCTGTTATCAGCTGTGGATAAACTAAGGCAGTCCCATATCTCACACTTGGGATTAAAACAAAATATAACTGAGTTTTTAAAGACACCAGAACTTCCATTACACTCTACTTAACACTAAAGATATCGGAAGGGCTAGTCTATCTCCTTTGAAGAGGAGACTGAAATTCAGGCAAGCCCCAAGCACTAATGTCTTAAGACTTTCTTGCAAGGAGACCTATAAACCAAGGGGACAACCAGTTGATCTACAAATATGTCACCTGTACCCAGCGTAGGGAAGGTGCCATCACTATGTAGTTGTTGGTGGGGATGTCTTAGCTCCAGGAGCCCTCATGGCCGCCAACCTGAGGACCACACATTCTAAGGAGAGTGGTGAGCCAGCTAATCACACTCCCCATAATTTACTTCCCTCCCACTCCCTCCAGGGCTGCTAGACTAGGATCCCCAGTGGGAACCATCTTAACAGCTGGTGCCCTGGGGAAGGTGTGGGATAAAAGGCTGCCTGAACTGGGGAATTTTGGGGACTGTGCCTGAGGGGCCAGAGGTGGGATACTTGGGTTTCAACTCTTCAGAGAGAGTGAGTGAAAAAAGCCATACATTAGTCAGCTAATTTTCCTAGCCGGTCTCTCCCATCCCAGAATTCCTTTCCTCACTGCCAGGGACAAACTTGGTGACTTGAAGCCCGTCTGAGAGTCACCCGAACCCTGCAGCGGACTTCTGTCTGTGTCGAGCGCTGTCCGCCACAGTGAACTTACAGGCTCAGTCGGCAAAGCTCTTGCCAGCCTCCTTCTACTCCCACCACCTTCTTCTGAGACCGGCCAGGAGGATGACTGATGGGTACACCCTGGGAAAGTGGACAGAGGAAGAGGAGACTGTGGCAAACCCAGGAGGTGATGGGCGTGCAGGAGCCGGAGCAGTGCCTGAGGGTGAAGGGCGGGGTTAAACTACAGGAGGATTTTGTGAAGGATGGTCCCTCAGATATCACCCAGCCCCTCCTTCCACAGTGTATGGTGGCAGTCAGGTCCTTTACATCCTTTGCCTCAGCCCTGGACAAGGTCAGTAGCCTTCTTTGCTGGCTCCCTGATATGATAAAATATGCTAATT